AGAATGAAGCTATGGTTCTTGAGTCCAAAAATCCAGTCTCTCATCTGGAGAGAGTTGTAGTTTTCTGCTGGAATACAGGTATCTCTTCCTTTTCGACAGTTCACTTTACACCACTTCGCTTTTATGAAAGACCTACGCTGGTACCTGTTTTAGCTAACCAAAGAAATCCAAAGAGAATTTTTGCTTCTATAAAAAAAGGCGAAAAATGAAAATAGTGGTCAGGGTTTGCTTTGCAGCAAGCCAGTTATAGAGGCAGTGTGCCCTTGTAAGTAAAACTACACTGTACATACATTATTCCTACTGTATATTTATTATATAATTCCCACTTTTACTATACGTTAGTGTTTCTTTAGGTTTTATTTGTTATTTGGCATGATTTGGTAAGCTATTTTGAGGGTCTAGGAATCCTCCCAATTTTTTCCCGTATAAATTAATGGTATTTACTTCTTCACTTTATACCATTTTGGCTTACAAAAGATTTCACAGGAACACTGTACTTTCAGATAGCAGGGGAAACCTGTTAAAATAAGTCATAGTCTTTTAGTGAGAATCACCACTAAGAAAACTCCTTTGTTCTATGCTTTCATAATGCCAAATACCTGGATAAGAATTAAAACATGCAATAAACATCTCAAAAATCGATGCATGTGACACTACATCAACAAAATATCCATTTACTTCATGAGACATCTCACTGTCTATGCAGGAATCTGGCTTGTTCATGTCAGTGAAACTGATGGTGATAAGTGTGACAGTCCCAGAACTGTATGGCACTGTGGCTCTAAATGACACCAGTCCACTAAGACTTGGAGAAAGATAAGAATAAACACAAGCAAATTATATGAGTGTTTCAGTTACATTTCAAGTCAAAAAAATAAATAATCGTGGCAATAGGAATGCTGCTTGTGCTTTCCCATCTTTCCCTGTCTGTTCTCCACAACCCTATGGCCATCCGACATATAATACACGTTATTTATTTACATTAATTTAATTCTCTCTTCATTTCCCAGAATGTAACCTTCAGGAGGGCAAGGATTTATCTGTATTTTTTGTTCATTGCGCTATTTGCAATACTTGAATAGACTGTGGTATAAAGTAAATGCTCAGTAAACATCTGTTGAACAAATGAGATGGCCCAAAGGATGGCTATTTGCTAATCAATTTATAAATCAGAAACTAAAATGGCCTAGTTAAAAAAAATATATACTTTTTTCCTCTTAAATTAAAAGACCGTGTGACCTAATTAGTGTTGGCTCAACCACAGTCTAACTTTGTGACTATAAACAATTTGCTTAACATCATGTCCCTTGGTTTCTCTGTCTGGAAAATGGAAAACGGTACCAGCCTTACATTCTGCAAAGACTTCTAAGTATTGTAAAAGAGACAATAGCTGTAACAGTGTTAATGTAAAGATGCAATGCAGGAGTTTAGCATGGATTTTTTTTCATAAAATTAAGCAATTATCTCAGTTGTCTATTTACTTATTAAACTGGCAAAATTCCATTTCAGCTTTTGTTCTTTAATGCAGCCATGCATTAAACAGTTTTCTGTATTGCTATTGCTTCCAAAGTACTGTTATTATTCATTCTAATTAACCATTTCTAAAAAAACAACTGCCTTTCCTATCCTTCAAATTTGCCTTCGAAGCCACGAACTTTTTAATGATAAATATAGACATATTCATTGAGTTCAATCTAACTGATACTTATTAAAAATGTTTTAATAAGTATCATTTCTCCAGAGGCATTTCTCCAGAGTAATCACCCTGCCTCCCAATATGTTAATAGCAAACCAGTCTTTCCATCCTGAGAACTCTATTTCTCCTGTATTCATTTTTTCCTTCAAGCGAAATTCTATTTTGCAGGGTCTCTCTTCCAATTTTTAAAAAGAGACCCTGTACCTTTAATAACAGAGACCTGGTGAGAAGTTTCTTTCCAAACTTGTTCCCTGGCTTCCAAGTGACGAAACCAGCTGTAATTTGAGAGCAGAGAGATTCTCAGGATATCATTAGCCAAAAGAAAAGCTCGGC